AGAGAAAACACAGATAAATTATTTTTTTTTTTTTTTTTTTTTTTTTTGTATTTTATTTTTTCATTTTGTTGTTTTCTTTTGATTTTAATAAGTATGTGTCTTCAATTACAATTGCTATTTTAATGGATATATGCTCACATTTTTCGCCACTTGAATATATTAATAATAGTATGTATGTGTTTTATTTTTGATTCTTAAATCATTTGCATTTTGTTTTTTTGCCCTTAATCAAGTCTGGCTTTATCATATTGGTTTTTATAAATGTAGTAAACGCATTTTGATAACAGTATACGATAAGTTCTAAGTGTGGACAAAGCTGTCTGTCATTTCAAACCATAGTTCATATAAAAAGTTCTGTACATACATATCCATCTCATGCAATGCAATGCGTGTGGTTAACTAAATTTCATAATTTACAGCTAAAATATATATAGTTTAGCTGCTGGCTAATACGAGTTACATTAAATTAGTTTGAGAGTACAAATAAGTAAGCATAATGGATAATAATAACTATTAGACTTATGACGACTTTTACAATAGATGCACACGATCAACTAGATATAAGTTATGCTCAAATATAGTCATAAAGTAGGGTATACTTAGTGTAGTTACATAGTTATAATTAGGAGAGAAGCAAATAATAACAATTTACAAATGGGCTCTGACCTAGTACGATTCATGCCAATAACATACACAACACTTACAGTACTTCTATATTGCTTAAATCATGTCTTTCGATATACATCGTTACATACATACATACATCACCTAGATTACATACAAACATGTATTTTCGACACGCCTCAACGACGTGCCTAACAATCGCATAGACTAGCTAAATTATGAAATTGAAAATTGAAAAATCTATGTGCCTATATATATACATATATAGAAATGGATATATATGTGTGTATATGTATATATATATATAGCATATCAAATATCTGAATAGTAAAAAAAAGCTGCCGTTGCATGAAAATTTAACCCTCGATGCTATCATAAAAATATTCTTCTTTGTCTGCATTCGGATCTTGTGCTCGCTCTTGCTCAGACTCTAGCTCCTCGAACTCGTCCACATCGTAGGATATTAAGGATTGCAGACTCGCTTCGAGCAGGCATGGGCTATGCCGCACGTGATGCACCTCGAATGCATTGCCATCGTTAGCCGGCGAGCCAAACCAGATGGCACCGTCACCATCCGCACCACAATCGTCCACAGCGGCCGCTGCGACTGGCGGCAATGGTGGTGTGGGTGCCCCAATGGAATCGCTATAGCCATAGTCGAAGGTCACCAGCAGATTGTCGCTGGCACCGTCCATGGAGTCGGGCGTTGTGTATTGCGTGTAATACGAATCGTAGGCCGTCTCCTCGGATACATCTTCATCACTTGGCATTTCTTTGATCTTAGTCAAGGGTTCCATAAATATAATATGATTGTTATGGTTGCTGTTGTTGTTGTTCTCATTGATGTCATTGTTGTTGTTGTTGTTGTTGCTTGTTTGCCACAACTGCCAATTGTTGTTATTGAAACGGAAATTTGGCTTACTTTCGCTATTTGCCAAACTCTGTGCATCAGTTTTGAATAGAAGAGCAAAAGAAAAGAGAATATCAAAATTTGTAGATCTCATCTCGATTGCACAGGC